TTTTTTTTTTTTTTTTTTTTTTTAGTAATTTTCTTCCTTAGAGACATCATTTAACATTCTGATGATGAGGTAACCAATACCCATTTTGCTAAAACGTCTAATGCAGGTCTAAAGTTGATTTCTTATCCATCCCAACTGTTGCAGAAATCAAACATTATTGCAAATACAGCAGAGTGCACAGTGTATACCAAGGTATACATCCACATGTGGAGTTTTCTGCATTATAGTAAATAATTTTGTACTTAAAAACTTATTTTCTGACAATGAAGATGAGAAGCGACCTTCCAGTGTCTACTGTGTGACAAGGCTTGCAGGATCTCACGTGCAATCGTCCCCTTTCACAGAGGAGTGAGCCCAGCTTTAGAGCCATAATGACTTCAGCAGGTTACACAACCTGGAAATGTTGTCACATATATTTGAATACAGAGATTACTGACTTCCAAGAATCCTGATATCCCTAGTACTTTATGATCTTTGGAAACTGTTATAATTATAATTCCCTCCTACCCTCTCTCTCTTTCTTTGTGTGTATGAGGAGGGTAGAGAACTAATACAGTTTCTAGCCCTTGTTTAAGTGTGACCCATGAAATGCTTTGTTAAGTATGAACAAAACAAGAAATTGCTTTTAAATGTATTAGAAAGAAGCATATGGGCTTGATAGCTCCAAACATTATTATTAAATATAACAAGAGTAATTTCAAGTTTCTCAAGGGGCACAGGGGGACCACAGATGTGTACAAGACACTTATCTTCACAAAAGAGCCTGAATGGTGTCTGCACAGTTTGGTCTCGGTGGCATTTGAGGCAAACATGAAAGCCTGCTCCATCTCTTGAGAGGGCCGGCTCTGGTGACAAGCAAAGATGGTGTAACGCTAGTATTTGCAAGCGGTTATGGTGACTTTAGTGTCCCTCATTGTCTCCCTCCTCTGAGCTCCTTGTTTTCCTGTCTGAAGAATCTCACTGAATAATAATAATATATCTCTTGCTTAATATTACCAAAACCTGCATGTCTCTGCAGTGTATGGAGAAATCCTTGGCAAGTGTTTGTTCTTTGGCCCACTACATCTTTTTTTTTCATGTTTCCAACTATTATGCAGCCTGCACTGTTCTTCATTACTTGAGCACGTGGTTCCTGGCCTTAAACAAGTGTGTCCTGTTTGTAATGATTCTAGTTCTGGTTTTCAGAGTAAGCCTATGCAGGTCACCTGATCAGTCCCTTGGTTTGGCTAATAAAGTGCTAGTAATTCACTGTCTTCAGGAATTACTTATGGTGAGTATGTTGACTCAGTATCCTTCGGCATTGCTCAAATGGCAAAGACTACATGGCTTTCCTGTTCGTGCGTCATGATCCGAATATCGCCTTGTATTTTCTGAGAGTTCTGACCATTTAGCATTGGAAAGGTACGGTGGGATTAGTTGCCCTGAAGCTTCACTTCCCGGTTTTTCTTTGCACCCCCTTTGTTTTCCAGGATTGCACAAACCCACGGTCTTCAGCTGCAGGCTCCTCCAATGCTGTCAAGCTCAGTAGATTTTTTGATAAGGTAATGGCTTCAATTAAGTTATTTTTAAACTTAACATATGATAGCTTAAACTCTTTGTGGAATGCTGTATCCTTTTGTTCCTTTGCCCACAACTGCACAGCCTGAATACCTGTTTTGATCTCTCTTATCTGTTGGAATAATTGCTCAAGGCCTGCTGACGTACTTATTCCAACACTAATAGTCTCTAGAGCAAAGAGTAAAGGCTATTGGATTCAATTAGGGCTCTTAAAAAGGTAACAGAGTTTTCCGTAAAACAATCCATAGTTACCCATATGCTCTTTGTGTAATTACCCCACTACTCCGTGTCCCAAAAGGCACTGACCAGAGAGATTAAAGCCCTTCATTCTCTAAGCTATTAATGTTTTCCATGCAAATGTTACTACTTGTTTGTAGAGTTAGCATGACTCCTTGAATCTGTTGTTTCCCTGTGAGAAGGCTCCCGTCCCTACTGTATCTCCCTCTTGCGCTGAACTGGAATGAGACTGTACTGTGGTTCGGCACACTGGTCGGTTAGAGCGCTGGTCGTCCTCATCTAGGGGCTGTGCGGCTGCCTTGCCTAGTGCTGATTTTGCATAGCAACGTAATATAGGACTTTTTCTACATTCATTACTGGAAAAGACTACTTTCTGTATTACATCTATCCTAAATGTGGTCTCTTAAGATAAACACTTAGGTGCTGGAGAAATTGCTCAATGGTTAGGAACAGTTGCTACTCCTGCAGAGGACCCAGATTCAGGTCCCAGAACCCACATTAGTTGCTCATAACCTCTTGTAACTCCAGCACCAGTGAATCCAATACCTTCTGGCCTCTGTGCTGTACACACAATCAAGCAGGCATACACACCTACAACACAGATACATATAAATAAAAATAAGTTTTAAAATTTAATAAAGACACTAGCCTTCTTGCAGATCTTCCATTCAGGTCATTTTTCTTTAGCTATTTGAGTCTCTAATATTCCGAGCCCTTTTCAGTATGTTACCATGAGGTCCAGTCCCCTAAACGTCCAACAGGGAAGTTTATCTCACTCACAACTTACTAACGGGGTGTGGCAAAAAGGATCAGGTGTGCACAGACCCTGATTCAGAGTAGCCAACCCTTCAAGCAGTGGACTGGGAGATGGACAGCTTCCGTTCACTGCCCTGCTGCAAAGAGAGCAGCATTTTGGAGTGATGAAAGGAATTATATTTTTTCTCCACATTGTTTTCAAACCTAAAATGTTGCGGCATTTGCTTGATTTAGATACAAGTTCCCATCTAATACAAAATCCCGTCCCTAAGAACAACATTCTGTAGATCTGTGTTTGATCTGGAAAGGTATCTTAATATACTTTTAGATGTTTGGTTTTGGTTTAACTTGATTTGGTTTGGTGTTTCAAGACAGGGTTTCTCTGTGTAGGCCTGGCTGTCCTGGAACTTGCTCTCTAGACCAGGCTGGCCGCAAACTCAAGAGATCTGCCTGCCTCTGCCTCCTGTATGCTGGGATAAAAGATGTGCGCCACCACCACCCTGCTTATTTTAAGTGTTAAGATTAAAATCTGTAGGTCCTATCCTAGAGAAATAATAGATTTTAGACTGTCATGATCTAAGCTCTCAGCAATGCTTTATTTAAAATAAATGAATAGTACTTTGGTTGGATCTAAGAAAGGAGCATCATGCATAAGAGAGGACCTTGTAAGTTGGGGGTGAAGAATTCTCAGCAAAAGAAAAAGCTACCTTTGTTGTCTAAATCTCATAGAGTCTATCAGAAAGGAGACAGCCTGGTTTGTACAGCATGTCCTGGATATGAAACCAAAACACCTGGCAATAGTTTGCCCTTTTTCTGTGGATTAAACCTTCCAGAATGCCAGAGGGGTCGAAGGCCTCTGGATTCTCTCAGCTGGTCGTAATTTTGCGGCAGAATAAGGTTTTCCTGATCTGCTGAGAATGGGGAAGGACTCAGTCCCTTGGGGGTTCGGGAGGCTTGGTGTTTCAAAGTTATACTAACCAGAAACCAGCTTTTCAGCCTCAAAGGCTGATGAATGCATCATTGCCCCAGGTCTCTTGTTGCTTAAATACTAACCCAGACATAGTCTTTGAGAAAGAATGAACCTGAATAATGTGTGTTTTAGTCTGTTGTGAGCAGGCTGTCCCAGGCCTGAAAGGATGCCGGGCTCTCGGTCAGCACCCTCAGCGTCATCACTCCAGATGTGAATGCCTCAGTCTGTGCTCACAGCAGCGCCGCCAGGGCAGGAGGGGTTTTGTGTATTATATAATACTCCCCATCACCTGAAAGCGTGGTTCTCAAACCCACTGTGTTAGGGCACGATCTATGAGCTTTCGCCAGCTGCACTGTATATCCACTGCTTCAGCCTGTTCTTCCTGCCGACTACTGAGTAAGGAAGCCAGCGAGGCCCATATAAGGGAAGCTCACTGACTGCTTGATGCGTACCATCGTCCACATGCAGGATGCACAGAATTCCTCACTGCCTTCCACAGCCTCCTCTTGAGAATATCTGCATTGCTGTCATGATTTGCATTGGCTTATGCATGCTTTTGGAACTGACTGCTAGGAAACTTGGCCCAATTGCTGCAGTACTCTAGGAGCCCATTGGGACATCATTCTGTCCTTATTTGATTTTTATGTGTTACTTATTTGTAAGTTTTGTTTTCTTTTGAGGCAGGGTCTTACTACACACCACAGACTGGTCTGAAACTCAATAGGTTGCCCAGGCTTGCCTTGAATTCCTGATCTTCCTGCCTCTGCTACCTGAGTGTTGGGATTGATTACAGAGCCTCTAGTTATACAATGTGCCACTGTCTCCTGCTCCTGGTTGTTTAGTGTATCATTCCTTCCTTTTGGAATGAGTAGGCATTAGTGGGAATAATCTCACCGTTCCAGTCCCATTAGCATCAGATTTTAAAGGTGTGTGTGTGTGTGTGTGTGTGTGTGTGTGTGTGTATGTGTGTGTGTTTGAGTGAATGCCACATATGCATAGGTGCCTGCAGAAGCCGATGTGGGATTCCCTGGATCTGGTTGCAGGTGGTTGTGAGCTGCCCACTGTGGGTGGTGGGAACCGAATTCCAGTCCTCTCAAAAAGCAACAAGTGTCCAGCTACTGAGCCATTCCTCCAACCCCAGCACCAGATTTTTAGCTCAATCTATTAAATGTCCATAGCTGTTGAAAAGGTTTTTAATTTGGCAATATTTCCTATAGTTATGAACATTATTAGTCACTTTGTCCAGGTAAATATGCTAAGCCCAAAAAAATCTTTGCTTGTTTCTCACAGGTCATAGAGAAGAGGTACTTTTTTAAAGAAAGCAATCAGGTTAGTATCTATCCTTTCTTGATAAAATGGTTTCTTAAATTTTGAAAGAGACGCTTTCTAATTTTTTTTCCCAGAGGGATTTTTTTTTAAGTTAGGAGAAGCTCTTTGTGGGCACGGGCAGCTTACTTCTTCTGTCCTCTTGAATACAAAAGTAGAAAACCTAAACAGAGGCAAAATAAGGATCTGCAATCCCAGAAGAACAGGGATGAGGTGATTCTGTAACGTAAGGAAAGAAGAGAGTGTGCGTCCATCTGCACAGCGAGTGCCGTCTTCCACAGAACAGACACTTGGTGCTGCAGCCCAGGGGCGGTGTAGGGGGCCTGTCCTTCTGACTCAGAGGACACTGACAGCAATGTGCTGGCAGATGTTTTCTGTATTTGTAGAGTTTCTTTTTATTATTTATCATTCTATGGTTTCCTGGATGAAATCTTAGAGAGCTGGTTTTATAGTGAACGACAGGCTGGGCTACAGGAACCGGAAACAGGAAGAAACAGTTCGTTTTAACATTTGAATCTTTCTGCCTAAAACCTAACAGGCTTCTTTCCTGCCTACAGATTCCCGGCTTTTCTGATCGAAAGAGGTTTGGAGCAGGAGCATTAAAGAACTTCCATTATGACTGAGCTGCGCTCGCCTTTGGGAGAGTGAGCGAGCGGTGGCAGTTGTCACAGCTTTCCTCCTGCTGTGTCAGGTTATTAACTTCTCAGGCTCTGATAAAAACATCTCAAAATGCTACCTCACCCTCTCATGGAAAACTGAAAGAAAGCAACGAGTGAGGACCCTACTTGGCCCCTGTTGTCTGTGTTGCTCACCTCTCTGTCCCTGCTGATATCGTATGGAAGAGCCTCGTGAAGACATGAGACACTGTCGAGCCAGTGCCGCAAATGGGCAGTGACAAGGGCTGCACCGAAAACTGACTCTTGTCTGCGATTTTCCCACGCTCACTGCTGAAGGCTTAATTAAGTTCTGGAGAAAACTATCTGTGTTGTTCTACCTTCTTGAGGGGAAAGGTCATGTTAACCAGCCCTGAGTTATCCACCCCAAACCATCTCTGTCAGTTTTAAAGAAGCCAAGTGGTTTTATTTCCTTTTCTCCAGCCTCATTACACACAGGGATGCCTAAGAATAGCAACCCTGTCTCCTCCCCTCTCCCCTGGAAAAGGCTTGGTGTCTGGCAGAGACGGACTAATAGCTGGAGTTAAATAGAAATACAAATTAATAATACATGGAGACTAGACCAAAAGAAGGCCTCTGCGAGGCATCGACAGCGCCTCCACACTTGAGAGTGCAGCTCTCGAAGGCCCTTTCTGCTCTCTGTTCGGAGATCCACTGAGATTTGAGAACAGCACAGGGGCAGGCAGAGAGATTTACTGCTCTTTGGTCTTTTCTTTCTGTCTGTTGTTGTCCTGGTTTCGGGTTTGGTTTTGGTTCTTAAAGGAAATTCAGATCCTGAAATACCCTTTAATATGATGAACCATAAACTAAGAATATTATCCTTGAGTTAACAATGTGTTTATGAGAAAGTCAACCAAGTCCCAGAGTAGCACATTCACATAAATTATGAAGCCGTGTTTGGGCTTTCAGAACACTGCACAGCTTTTCAGCCGTGGTGTGTGTGTGTTCGCATAAGTGTTCACCATTATATTTTAGCCCATCTTTTTTGCCGGTTTAATTCTCTTGGCCCAGTTCTTCCTTAGTTCATAAAATTGGTTGCAAAAAAAAAAAAAAAAAGACTCTAATTGGCTGCTGCGTTCAGCACCTTATTATCCAGATTCTTCTCTGCTGCAGCTCTCAGCCCCCGAGTCTTGCAGCAAATTAAAGAAAACAGTGATATAAGTACACAGTTGCAGCTCGCTTAAGACCAGGTAAGAACTACAAGGTTCATTTTCTGTTCACTTTAATTAAATTTCAGGAGGACTCAGGAAGGCAGGGTATGCTGGGAAGGAGCGTGAGGAGGAGCTCAGGAGGAGCACTTCTGAGCTGGGCTGCTCTGTCTTTACCAAGGCCGCTTTCAGCTTCTTTGCTGGTTTGATTGTTCTTTGATATAATTAGTGTTATGCAGATTATGGTCTGGGTGTGGAATTTGGCACAAGTGTGTTGTGGAGAGGCTGTAAAGCTGGGAAAGTAAAAACCAAATGCTACACAAACTATCTGAAACCCTTCGTATTTCTCTTTTTAAAATGAGATCGGGAAGCATGGACTGCAGCTCAATGGTAGAGAATTTAGCTAGCATGTGCAAGACATTACATATGTTTCCAATATCAAAATTTAAATAAAAAGTAAGTTAAACCCATTCCTTTCTCTCTCCTTTCTTCTTAATTAAGAGACCCACCCCAATTTCTATCATTTCTTTGTTACTAAGAAATAAAAGAGCTGGGCAGTGGTGCACGCCTTTAATCCCAGCACTCCAGAGGCAGAGAGGCAGGTGGATCTTGAATTCTAGGCCACCCTAATCTACAGAGCAAGTTACAGGGCAGCCAGAGCTACACAGAGAAAGCCTGTCTTGAAAAACACATAAAGACAAGAGCTAGAAAGGGGCGAATACATGTTGCTCTTACAGAGAACCTGCATTTGGTTAACAGCACCCACATGGGCAGTTTACAGCCATCAGTAACTCACTTCCAGGGGATTCATCTCTGTCTTCAGACCTCTTTAAACACTATGCATACATATAAAATAAAAATAAATAAATATTTTTAAGGATGGGGAGATAAAAGCAACCCATCAGTGATGGCTACAGGATCTGACTTGATAAATAGTGTTCTTCAATTCCATTTCTACCATCTTGATTCCTTGACCTATACTTTTTCCTTATAATTTTATAAACCTTATTATTTAAAAAATAAAAAGTTGTAAATAAAATAAACATCACACACCCAAATTTATCTGACCCAAAGTCTCTATCTCTCAGCGAGCTTCTGTATAGTTAGAGCTGCCATTGTAAAGCTGGGGAGTGCCACAGTGAATTTTACACCTTTACTGTCAAATAGATGTTCTTTGCACTTAGTTTTGAGCTGTAGTTTTCTAAAGAAAAAATAAATTTTAATCTAATCATCTGAAGTAAACTTGTTACGAGTATATGTAGCAGCAAAGAAAGCCGTTTACCAAATGAGTGTTATTTGCCCAACAAAAGAATGTTCTTGAAGCATGACTTTTAAAGACTTAGTTATAGATACTACTTGTAAGCAATAATTTAGTATAATACAAAAAAAATAAATTATTGTGACTGCCAGAATGGTCTTTTGATGTATTGGATTCTAATTATCTTACCTTCTTGATTACACAGATTGCTAGTAATAGCTGTCATCTGTTTTTCTCCCTGAATAACTCAGAGTTCTTGACCAATATTCTTACTCAGTGTAGAAGACAACCAGATGTAAAAGCATGGTGGCCTCCATCCGTCCCTCAGGTGGACAGGACCTTTACTTGGAACCTAACTCAGTGCCACTGGGTGCAGACACTAGAATATGGCAAGAAAATGGAAGGGTACTCACACCCCTCCTTATACCTTCTCTCGCAAAGCGGGTGGTAAAAGTAGCTGCCTTTTCCATGAACTTGCTCGCAAAAATCTTTATTCTAAGATCTCACTATTCATTCCAGGAGGAAAGAACATCTTTATCCTCAAAGACAAAGACACCAAGCAGACTCCGAGTAAGTGTCCCTTACTGTCAGGCACGCCATGCTTGTTTGAGGCTCAAACAGTTGGTGTCCTTTTCTCCTGATAATCTACCTGTTGTTGGTGCCTCCACCATGAATGAAAAAAGAAAATGTCTTCCCTGGCCTGGGACGCTCAATATATAGTCACTGTTGCCTTTCTGTCCATTTGAAGTAAACTTCTTGTACTCGGTGATGTCCTGGGCTGTCAGACTGGAATGGAGTGTTCTAGTTGCTGCCAGTATCCCCATCTCAGTGGTGTGCGTTAGAACACCTGACACAGGTAGAGCTGTGTATACATACTTAATAGAAAGTGGTTTTGTTGAATTTTTTTAAAGTACAGGTAGCACCCTGTCCTAAAAATCTGATGGTTTCAGTGGAATTCCTGCATTGATTTACTACCCTAAAATTCAGAGGACACTGAAGGAAAAGAGAAGGGTCAAGAAATGCATTTCTTCATAGCTGTAAGACAGCTGAATCACTGCACAGGGGAAAGAGGGGTGCAAGGGGTCTGACCCTGGGCCTCGCCTCTCCCAGTGGGTGTTTGCCAGTTTGCCGGGGCTGTTCCATATGATTAAAGACCATATAACGTCAAGTTACAATTAATCCATACCTCCGTTGTAGGATGCCAATTGTTTGCTCTCAAACTCAGAAGTGTGTAAAAATCTCTTCCAATTCAGAGTCCAAAGCTTCATCTGCTTTCTTTCACATCCCTTAATTCTATATTATATACTAAAAACGCAATTTTATATTTTTGGACGTTTTTAATTTTCTCGTGTGTGTTGGGGGTGAGGGGTCCCTGCAGAGGCCAAGAAGACAGCATTGGATCCCTGGAGCTGACATTACAGGCATATTCTTAACTGCTAAGCATCTCTCCATTTAACAGACAGACCAGGTGACCCCCAGTGCAGGTAGTGAAGCTCTAGCCTTTCAGAAAGACAAGTGAACCAAAAAGTACGGAACACATAGATTGTAAGCCATGAACTTTATGAAAACCAGTATAACAAAGTTACCAGCGTTCAACCTTAATCTCTCCTCAGTGATCCAGCCCCATCCACTCCCCCGCAGAGCCATGCCATTTTCTGGTAAACCAGGAGGTGTTGTCTTTGGTGTATTGCTGTCATTCTGGGGGGTGCTGTTTTCTTAGAGATGCCTGTTTCTTGTCCAGGTACAGCTATTTCTAATCTGTGCCCTACTGATTGTCATAACTCACCCCTCCTGTTGACAGTGTTTCATTTTCTCGGCTAACTCAGCACTACGCTTTACCAAGCAGTGGTAGAAAATGCAGCCTCTAACTAAGATGTAACAACTTGCTCAGAACTGTCTTTTATTTGGTGACAACTGTCCTGCAGCCCCCTAAGCTTTGACAGCCATCCTGAAGTGGTGGCTTGGTGGGTCCATCACACTGTGCTTCTCATTCTCCCAACTTCCTGGATGTTTTCCATTTTCTTGGAGGTAGAAAGGGGGCTCTGGTCATTAAGACGAATGACCACAAGCATCCCGTCGATAGGTATGTGGGCACAGATCATTCTTAAAATCCTTAAGGACCCATTTTCCAGACGTATTTCTGCATATATGCCTTTAAAAGAATTGACCTGCTTCTGAACGCAGCCCGTTGCCAGTTATTATTTCCCGCCTCAGCTCACCACCACCTTGTCCTCCTCGGCAAAGGGACAGCTCACTTGAAGTACTGCTGTAGATGTCCCCAAGGTGACAACCAAAGGACAGTTCTAAATAGTTGCTTCATTTAAGGACTTGGCCCATACCAATCCCCACAATTATTTTTAAATACACTTGTCTTAGTTAGATGTCTCAGTCACTGTTCTACTGCTGTGAAGAGACACCTTGACCAAAGTAACTCTTACAAAAGGGAGCATTTTTAGGGGCTTGCTTACCACGTCAGAGGCTTAGTTCATGGTAATCACAGTGGGGAGCGTGGCAGCAGGCACGGCAGGCATGGTGCCAGAGATGTAGCTGAACGCTACCTCCCGATCATCAGGCAGAGCGAGAACCTGGGCCTGCCATGGGCTTCTGAGACCTCATAGCCCACTCACTCCTAGTGACACTCCTCCTCCAACAAGGCCACACCTCCTGATCCTTCTGCTCTTACCAAAGAGTCCCACCCTCTGGTGACTAAACACTGCGTTTATTAGCACATGGGGTCCTCTTATCCATACCACCACAATACATGTGTGAAAATGGCACACTGAAACCCATTGTTTTCTACAATTGATACATCCTAGCTAAAGGCAGAAACAACCAAAACTAAGATCTGAAAACGTTATAACTGTCAACACTTCCTTTAACACAGTTTTATAAATGTGGAATTCTCAAAAATAATGCAACAAGGAAGTTTGAAAATAAGTAACTGTCAACAGTTTTCTTTAAAACAACCTTTTTTTAAAATGTGGAGTTCCTGAAAAATGAAGCGAAGAAAGCTTTAGTGAGAAGAAGCCAACCAATTGCTGCTTGCTGTTGGTTGCTCACCGGAACCTATTTCTGTGGATACCGCACACCTTGGTCACAACACAGAGAAATCAAACTGGAACTAGGCTGGGTACTTGTTCCCTGCTGGAGAGCTCTCAGTGCCTGAAGACGCTCTGCAGACTGCTGGGGAGATTGCCATCAACAATCAGCGCGACAACAGCACCCATCTCAGCCTTGAACCATGTGTACAACAATGTCAGCTAGATAAGCCCGGCATTGCAACTTACCAGGTTTGTTGCGGGTAGCCAACCACTATCTGATTGGATTTGACATCTACAGCACAGGAGGGAATTCGTGTCTGGTACTCTATGCCCCCAGAGCCCATCGCCCTAGAGGGGAGACTATTGCTGTTGCTTTGCTGAATAGATGTGATTTGCCCATCAAACTGCCTTCTAAGTAACTTGCTGCCGTCAGCTTTGTTCAGAGAATCTGCCTTTCTGCAGTGGTCAGAGTTATTGCAGGGACTCATAACTGAGAATAAATGACAATTGGATGTTCATCCATAAATGGAATGTTTGTGTTATGCCCTCCAAGACTCAGAGAACATTGCAGAAGGCAGAGAAAGAGACGGAGAAGGCCCAGGGTGGTGGTGGATGCTGGCTTCTAAACATGACATGACTGTGCACTCTTAAACTAAGCTGCTGTAGTTGCCCGCACACGATCTGCATGAGATTGGCTCCATCGATGCCCTGTCTTGAGGGGAGAAGAATCCACGCCCCACCAAGGATTTGTACACAGTTAGTGATTGGTGGAGGGAGAGAAATGTTCAGGAGGCGGCGTCTGACAGGGAGGGAAAGATGGCATACTTCTGTCTCTTCACCCAGGACAAAGATCTGACAGGCACCCACTCCCCTTGCTAAGCCCCACTCCATATGTCCTAGGCAGGTCCAGACACGGGCTGTGTACCAGCCAGACAGCCAGGGGCCAACCATCAAGGGGTGGGGGTAGGGTAGAGAGGGTCACGGGAGACAGACAGCCACAGAAGAAGCTGGAAAGCAGGATGGACAATACACAGATGAAGTAAGCGAACTTTGGAGCAGCACCATAGATTAATAAAAATGGGTTAATTTAAGTTAAAGAAAAAAGCTAGCTTGCCCCGGGCGATGTCCCCAGTAGTTCCTTGAGCAGCTGAGGATAGGGAACCTGAAATGACCCTATCCTATTGCCATACTGATGAATATCTTGCATATCACCATAGAACCTTCATCTGGCGATGGATGGAAATAGAGACAGAGACCCACACTGGAGCACCGGACTAAACTCCCAAGGTCCCAATGAGGAGCAGAAGGAGGGAGAACATGAGCAAGGAAGTCAGGACCACGAGGGGTGCACCCACCCACTGAGACAGTGGGGCTGATCTATTGGGAGCTCA